ACGGGAATCGAACCCGTAACCCTCAAAAAGCAAGGGAGACCAATCGTGCTCTTCAAAGGCTGCCTCGGAGCGCTTACCACTACGCTACCGCTACCGGCAAAAGTCAGTGCATCATCCGTGAATCGAACACGGGCCTCATCGATGGCAACGATGAATTCTACCACAAAGATAGGTTGCAATGTTAAACGACCAATGATAAGCCGTATATTGCAATCTTCCACTCTATCCACTGAGCTACCGCCCCAGGACTGTGTGCGTTTACATCTATTCCTAAAAACGGCGTAAATGCTTCCCTTGTCTTTAGTTCGAAGCCCTAAGGCTAAACTATATTTAGGATGGTACCGGGAGAACTATAGTCCGTGTAACCTACAGCTAATTAAAAAATAGATTGAACGCCTTATCTACGTTTGGGCTGGAAACAAAACTAGTTACGTAAAACCTCGTGTAGGTGGTGCCGAGCAGACCTGGCAACTCCTAACCGCCACCACTTCCTTTTCATATTTTGCTATTTCCTATCACGTTGCCTCGCTCAGGCAATACAGGAGCCGTTTAACATTGTCACCATACACTTTGTTGGCCGCTCCATTGGTCGTCCTGATTTTCCTTCAAGCAGGCAAGCCATGAACCTCAGGTCTGACTTACGTTTAGTTATATTCATACCTACAGAAGCAAGCCATGGAGACAATTAGTCAACCTTTTTTTTTTTTTTTTTTTTTTTTTTTTTTTTTTTTTTTTTTTTTTTTTTTTTTTTTTTTTTTGGTATAGTACTTACCATACCTCATCATAAATCATAGATCCTTCATCCAGCACGCGAAATCCAATAGCTTTCCCAAAATGGTTCTCCTTTTTCATGGCAAATATGACCGACTGTAATGTTTAAATGTGACGGTAGCATTCCAACATTTTCAAAGTTGCTAACTTATGTGAAGGGCTTGGCAAGAATCCATGGATAAATACTTTCAATTATCCACGGAAGACATTCTCAACTGTGATATCTTATAATTTTAGAATTTTATTCGAGCATGAAGGCGTCCGTAAGGTCCGAGCTGCTGTTCTATCGCGAGCAGACAATAGGTGAGGTTATCTTTCATCCCTTATTAATTGCCAGCACATAGTAATGATATATCGCAGCAAACCTTCGCTTCCTGTTCGGAGAAGAGGTTGATGTCTTGACGTGCACTGAGCATGATGACTATAACGCCATAGCATGTAGGGTCAAACCCAATGGAGAGCGAGTTCCAGTGTTACAAGCATCGAGCTTGTCCGCGCCGAAGGCGCTGGAAAAGTTACACGATATGTCGATAAGACGTGTTGGGGCATATCTTACAGAACATAAGCAAATGAGATGTGAAGGGGAATACCAAGCATTGCAAAAATATGATCACTTTGAGTCTGTCCAAGCAGGTATGAACTAAGTTGAGTATACTCTGCAATACAATGAATGACGGCAACTGACGGTATAAAACAGCAAACCGGAGCAATCTCATGCCTGAGTCAAATTGTACTCACACCGCCTCTGAGGAGTCACAAAATCGCTTGAGCCAGATTTCAGTACGATGCGACACAGAACCAAAAGGCTACTCGGTACTTGTAGCTGTTCAATACCCTTTTAAATACCCTTTGGGAGAGCTTAGATATCTTAGCTATCCTAACAAAGTTTCTGTACTCGACGCTGCCGCCCGGATGCTGAGGAATCGTGGGATATCTACCGATGCTTATCCTATCACAAGTTTATCTATCAGGAAAGAGGACTGTGATTATGACATTCTTGGTTACGGAGACCATCATTTGGGAGACTTGCTCGATGATGTCCGAAAGATGGAAAAGGTTCCTACCTTCAAGTGCATTTATTCTGAAAAACCATTGTATTAGGAATCCTAATGATGTTCTTTTGTTTTTTATGCCCTATCAGTGATTTATGTGTTAACTAAAACTTGAGCCTAGAATATCTTTTCCTCTATTTTCTTCTGCTTTCCCCTTTTCGAAAGCTCTGATTAGGAACAGTCGAGTATAGCATACATAGCATGTGTACTACAAAGGTTGCTTGAAAATACCTAATTAGCCTGTATACAACAATAGATAGTTAGCTATTTACAGGTTACGTATGTAAGCTATGCTAGGACATTGATGATTTCGTTACAGAAGATTACGCAAATTTACCGTGAAATTCCCCTGATTAGTACGTTTCGGTTTAGGGCTTCGGCAACAATTGAAGAGTAAGGACATTTGCACTGTTTTTGCAACCCGCTGTACTGAGGGGACCTGGTAGCGGTAGCGTAGTGGTAAGCGCTCCGAGGCAGCCTTTGAAGAGCACGATTGGTCTCCCTTGCTTTTTGAGGGTTACGGGTTCGATTCCCGT